GGGGCGGGGTGCCCGTGGGGCTGGCTAAACGGCCATGGAGGGAGGGGAAGGGGGGCGGGGCGCTGACGTACCATGGCCAGGGGCATGGCTGTGTACGTCAGCGTTACAGACACTGGGCTACTATTTATATGATGATGATCTGTGACCAGTTATTCTTTTATGTAGAGACAGTCCGGTTTGTCTGATGTACATAGCAGGGGGGCATTGTTGGCACATGGTGGAATATATTACATTTGTAGATGTGCATGTGAATGAGCCTCTTCAGCATCTGAGGAAGTGAGTTGTATCTCACTGAAGCTTATGCCCTAATACCCTAATAAATGTTTGTCTTTAAAGTGTCACTGGACTCCTTGTTTTTGTTGAAGTTACCAACACATCTTTGAACCATTCTGCCTAAAAGGTTATTCATAGATGCATCAGGGATCTAGCACTGCTTGAAGAGCAGCTCTTAATGTATATTGATTAATAATATGACCGAGTCATTGTCTTATTAAAACTTTCTTGGGAGTATTGAATTTGATCTTGCAGGATGCTGTGCTCTCTCAATTCCCATCTCATTACTTCCCAGGAGCAGCTCTCTTGGCCTTATTCTGAATTTGAACTATTTCGTTTATAGATGGACCCTTCTTCTTTGACATTTGCATAACAAATTTATTAAGGATGATGCCACACTGGCTTTCTCTTTAGCAATTTATAGGAGTTTTGCCATTTGACTTGAATGGGAGCAGGACTGGCACCCATCTTAGATATGGAATTCTAATTATGTCCACAAGAAAATGAGATTAATTTCAGAAAATACAATCAATCTTAGTCTTGATCAGACTTTAGTATCAAATAATTTTGAACGTAAAGTGGGTAAATGGATGATGGAGAGATGGGATTAGAAGAGGAATGGAGAACCTTTTTGAGATCAGGAGCAGAAAAACCAGTTGGGAGGGAGTGCACACAAGTGAGAAGCCCCTTATTGAGAAGTTGAGACACTGCTCACATTCCCCTTGCACACCAGAACCTCGGGTGATTTTGTATGCTCCATTCCTGTGGGTGGGTGACAGAGGAGCTAGAGTGTCAGCACGGGCTCCCCACTGCTGAGCCTCAGGGGCCGGATCCAGGCTAGACGGAGGCCAAATGCAGCCTCCAAGCCTGAGGTTCCCCACCCCTGACTTAAAAGAATGTTTTGATTAGTTAACTTTGTGGTTGTTAATAATTATGAGTTGAGGAGTTTGTAAAACTTAACTCTATAAAAAAATCATATTGAAAGTCTAGAGGACTTCATCATCAACCCTGCACTCATATGCAAATATGTACAATTTAGCCAAACAAAACATATCATGATAGTTTGATACTTCTGTAATGAGGACATGCACCTTATTTGTACCTAGTGTCCTCCAGAGTAATATTGTAATCTCACCATTTGATGACCTTTCAAGTGAAGAGAGAAATTTTAAATGACTGCTTTTGTCTTTTTTTTTTTAAGCTTGTTTACAAGATAAAAGCAAGTGCTATACTAGAAAAACTGGCTTCAGCTTCCATCGGGAGTTATGATCAAATGGACTGGTTAGACCTCGTGGCTGAAGCTAAAGAAAATTTACATAAAATACAGGTAAATGCTTGATGTTTTGCCTTACTCTTTTTTTGTACACATTGAACCAAGGTGAAAGGGTGTGTAGAGTTAATAATTCTAAACTGTTTCTTCAATCAAACAGGATACCCATTTTATTGTGGATTACTGCGTAAATGCTTCATGGCCATCATATGAAACAACTCAGGAAATGTTAAGCTACGCTAAAATCAGAGTAAGTTTTATATGAAATGGTTCATATTAATGCATTTCTGCTTCATTTGCCAACTTGAATGATTATCACTCTATATAACGGATGTTGCAGCTCAACAAAAAATGATACTCTTTTGGAGGACTGGCAAAAAATTGCACCAACTACAGGATAAGCAGAAGGGGAGATGCTGTGGAGTGCACTTTGTTGCCTCTGCTCTGTGCTAGGGTAAAGCATATTTCTAGTTATCGCTACTGTCATTGATAAGCATGGTAAACACATTACCTAACTCAAAAATCATTTCTGCTTGTAGACATGGTATGTTGGCTAGTTCCATAGCTGACTTTCCCTTTGCTCGAGTGTTTTGAAGGGATCTCCTTCCCCTATGCAAAGAGAAGGAAAGGGTTTCCTTTGCACATAGGAAACAAGAATTTAATCTTGAGCGCCAAGCTTTACAAAGTCCTTTACATAGACTGAATACTAAACATTTATTTGAATTTTTCGTTCTCTTCACATTATAGACTTTCCTGCCTTATTTAAAAGAATCAGGTAGATTCATTTTGGCCCTAATCCTGCAAACACTGCATATATGTAGAAATCTCATGGAAAGATTGAGAACTTGCCGTATGAAGTCCTTGATTTATTAATATACTATTTTTTGTTAATGTTTACATTCAACTTGTATAGTATTGTGCTGATCAGTTCTGCCTCAACAGTATTTCCAACTATTGTGTATTCAAATGCATTCATTTCAGATCTTGAAGAGAGATGACAAAATGATTGCTTCCTTAGCTGATGGGCTTCAAGGGTCCATAACAGAAGTAAGATATGAAAAATTACCTTTATTTTATAAATGTGTTAACTTTCTTTTAATCAATTAGGTTGGGAACCACTGGCCTATTTGATACCAGGGTCTGGCAGACCCATTCACAAACTTTTGGCAGATTGATAGCATTTTCATATTTGCATATTCATTATGTAAATTGGAAACATACAAATATGAAAATAAAATGTACCCCCTCTACTATCTCCTGTGCCAGCTGCTGACCCCACAGCCTCCCCATTACTAGTCCCACCCCCCCAGAATTCCCCCAATGCCAGCATTCTGCCTCTTAGAGCCCTTCCCCCCCCCCACTTCCAAACCTCCCAGCACTAGCTGTGTCCCTGGAGCCCCCAGTGCCTGCCCCGCCTTCTCCACCTAGCCCTGTGCTGCCCCTCAACCACCAGCTGAGTGCTGCTGCCCAGGTTACGGCTGCTCTAAGGCTGTCATGCTGGGCTCCCTCCATGCAAGTTTCTCTTTTGTAGCTGAGAAGAGACCCTGCCTCTGTCCTGCCAAGTCTGGTGACAGCCCACACCCCAACACACGCACAGGATCGGCGGCGTCTTCAATACAAGCAACAGAGGCAGATGCATGTTTCTGGTGGATTGAGAGTTCCTCCCCAGGACATTAAAAGTTGGGGCCTAGAGGCACAGGGTCACTCTGCCTGTGAGTGTCCCAGGCTCATGACATCCACCTGACAGTCAGGCAGTACTAGCCCCCAATACTTGCTCGTTTGAGCTGGGGAGCCTGGCTCCATCCACACAATTCCAGACCAGCGCTGCTGGCTGTGCCCTGCGATGTTGGGAAGTGGCCAGACATGTGGTGCAGGCCAGAGCCAGCAAGGGAAACCCTGCAGGGGAAACTGGGCCCTGCCAAAGGAGGGGTGGAAATTGTGGACACCCAGCGCAGCTCTCTGGAACTTCTAACCTGATCCTCTGTGATACTGAGGAAGGCTGGGACGTGCATGGCTATGAAGGTTCTGTGCGCTGCTCTTGAACACGCCACCCACAACGGAAAGGACACAGGGCAGCCACCTGTCATAGAACTTCCCAGTGGGTGGGGCTCATTAGCAGCTGAGGGCATGGCCTGGCAGAGTGCCGGAGCCCTGCAGGCTGGGGTTCATAGCTTGTCCCTGGACTGAGGACCCATGGTTGGGAACGGCGGAGTTAGGCAATTTTTAAAATCAGATTATATTTATGACAGCTAAATGTTAATCATAAAACATTTTTAAAAAATGAGAAGAGATCCATATATTGACTTGCTTTCAGAATTTTTTTTTCCATCTGTGGTCCAGCAGGACCATGGATATTATCTATACCTATCTCATAGAACTAGAAGGGACCTTCAGAGATGGAGTCCAGTCCCCTGCCATCACCGCAGGACTGAGTACCATCCCTGACAGACTTGCCCCAGATCCCTAAATGGCCCCCGTCAAGGATTGAACTCACAACCCTGGAATTAACAGATCAATGCTCAAATTGAGCTACCCCTCCCTCCCTACTTAAATGCTTCCTGTTGTTATAGAAATGAATGGTTCTTGAGTACTCTGTTCTCTGGTTTCTAATCTGATGTTTCTCTTAAATTTTTAATATTAAGAAGCTTTTAAACAACTATAAAATGCTTTTGAATGTTCAGCCCTGTTGTGTGTCAAATGGTATTCTTATAGGGTACAGGAGGTGGACTGTAAGCCTTTTATAGTCATGAATTTTTGGAATAATAAATATTAAAGTAAATTTGTTCTCAACAAATTAGCTGGAAATTTTGGAAACCTTCTGTATCTGTTATGTTTATATTGTTTTATTTTCTTAACCATTTTAACATCACTCTGAGGCCTGGTCTTCACTAGGAGTTTAGATCAAATTTAGCCACATGAGGTCAATTTTTCTAAACTTGTCCACTCTGCCATGCCTGTCATGTCGATTGTAAGGGCCAATAAAATCTGTTGCTTAATCTTGATTTCATGAAGAGTAACACTATTCCTGATCTTTCATGGTTGAATTTACAGTAGTGTGAACCCAGCGTAGAGGAGGTCAAGATCCTTGGCCTCTGGGTGGCTTCTCATAGTGCCCCACTCTGGCCAGAACTTGCACCTCTCCAGGTATGTCTAGACTACATGGCTCCGTCAATGGAGCCATGTAAAGTAGTTTACTCAACATAGTCAATGAAGCGGGGGTTTAAATAATCCACACTCCATTAAAATAAAAATGGCCGGCATGCTGTGCTGACAATCAGCTAATCTGGCACAGCGCGGCAGTCTAGATGCGGCGTGGACGACAAGGGAAGCCTTTGTTGACTGCTCCTGTAAACCTCGGCTTACAGGAGTGGTTGACAAAGGCTTCCCTTGTCAACCGCGCCGCATCTAGACTGCCGCGCTGTGCCGGATTAGCTGATTGTCAGCACAGCATGACGGCCATTTTTATTTTAATGGAGTGTGGATTATTTAAATC